TTTTATTGTTGAACAGTATTATATAATTATCTATGTGTTTCAACTGTGCACATCTCCTAGCTCCTCGTAAAAGAAAAGGGCGGGGTGAAGGGAGGAAAAGGGGGGGGGGGAGCAATAGTGTTCTAAAGGTGAGCGATCATCAAGTCTACCCAATAACATAGGTAATAAAGCCAGGGGAGATTGGTGAAAGCTCGGCTATCTTACAACGCTAAGAGGAGGGTAGGCCAAAGACACCAGCAGATAACAAGCAGGCTTGCCCAGGCTACTGCAGTGCATGCAGGAAGAAGAAACAAGGGAAATAACACGAAAATTGCTAAAAACAACCTACTTTCGTTTTCTACAGGAACAGTGCTGCTGCGCATGTACGTCCATCTTTGGAGACATGGCCCCATGAAAATAGTCCAATCAACTTTTGCTTTCACTCTTGCTCCGACCCTGTGGCGTGATTCTACTGCTAGCTAGCTCAGTGTCGTAGATCAAGTGGCCTGCCGCAAAGCAACAGCTGAAGTTTGCCCAAACTCAAGACTCAAGACTCAAGAGTCAAGAGTTGTTTGTAGTGTATCAACATTCGATTTGATTTTTAGAACGAACTTAATTTCAGACCGCACCTGTTTTGACGATCTACACAACTTTTCATCAAGATGACGGAAGTTGTTATTGTGTCTGCTGCAAGAACTCCTGTCGGTACGTATCTCAATTATCTGCTTTATTACTTTATTGTCATCAATAATATTGGGAGGGCTGGGTCATGCAGCCTGACGCACTTGACAAGTAGAATGACGCGAGAGTTCGAGGAAAACAAATTAGATCTATTTAGATCTAGACTAGATCTAGATATCTAGATCTAGATCTAGTATTTAGTGATATTATGATTATACTGAGTTGTTGCACGGATATTCAATTTTCATTTGATGTTAATGTGTGTAGGAAGGTTGATTTTTTATTCAAGAGAAAAAGAGTCTTCAAGGAAGAGAGCAAAAATAAGAAATTAAAATTTATAGATGTCTAGTCTAGCAAAATAGGCCTTCTACTTCTAAATATCTAGATTATCTAGATCAAGATCTATCTATAGATTCTAATTATAATTTATTTTAATTTAATATACCAGAATGGTTCATCATTATCATCATCATTATTATTATTATATCATTATCAATCATAATACTCCAAGCTACTGCTTTGCTTAATCACTTCCATCTCAACTGCACTTTACAGGGTCTTTCAATGGAGCTCTCTCTAGTTTTACTGCTGATGATTTAGGTGGTGTTGCAATCAAGGAAGCTCTCAGCAGGGCTGGTGTTGCTGGGGAGGAAGTGTCGGAGGTTATTCTGGGCCAGGTGCTCTCTGCAGGTTTGTCCTCACTTTACCTCTGGTCTATAGGGTAGGTTGGGGCAACTTCGACAGGTTCGTGCAGTGCCGCCAAAATCTGATAGAAGACTTGCTCCCACCTTCATGAAAGGACACAGAGATCATCTTGTCTAGAAGTGTAAAGCAGTCTAATTACTTCTCGATTATTAGGGTAAACTGCCCTGGGTGCAACCAGACCTAGGAAAAATAAAGCAGGAGGGTAAAAAAAGAATTAAACGGAGCACCCTTGGGTTGTCTGTTGACTTATAATCCACTTCTTTTTTCACTTCCACTTCCCCTTTTATTGAAGCTGGTAGGAACATTATTTAAATGTTTGTTGAAAAACTTGGTTTGTGAGAATTTTAGGTATTATGTTCAAGGGGAGATAACAAAAAGAAAAAAAGTTTGTTTTCATTCAGGTTGTTTTCTTAAAATGAGTCTTTGATTATTTGGTACTGATTGTGAGCCTATTTGCAGTACAAAATTCAGCTAAATATCGCTGGTTATGGTTAGTTACAAAATGATTAACCCTCGTCCTGCGGGGGGCCGGGTTTATGTCGCCCGCTAAGCCTATTTCGGCACCTCGCCTGCGTTCTGGTCCCGAGTCATTCTAGCCCCTGGCTCAGCGCACGCGCGCCGAGCATCATCTCGTGTGAAATTCGGGTCCCTCGTCGGATCCCCATTCACGCAGGTCAAGTGTGTGTGTGTCAGTCTGCTTGAGTTTGTGTGCGTTTGTGGCTTTCTTCTAGAACCGCCTGCGTTGGTTCGTAATCGAGGCATACGTGTCATTCAAAACAGGCCAAGTTGGTAGCTCTAAATGTTTGTCCAATGAAATTATAGAAGAAATTGACCCACTTAGACATGAGGAACTCGAAAGGATAGACAGGAAACAAGACTTCCATTTTTCTATACAAAATCTTTCAAATGAGCTTGATTTTGTATGAAATGATACTGTACTACCTGATAAAAAATAAGCTTGTTTGATAGTTTTGAATACCATTGTGCAGGTACTAAAAATAATTTGAGTGCAAAACATTCGGAAATTGACCTATATTATCCCCTTTCGAACCTCAGGTCGCTCATAACAACAAGAATGTCTGGAAAGGTTATTATTCGAATGGGTGTAACTACTCGTAATGTCTCTCAGCTTATGAGAGGGGGTTATTCATGTGTTTGTAACACTTTATAAATAGAAAACTAAGAAAGATAGAGGGTTATTTTCATCATCGATTAACACACTCCCACAGTATTCATGGCGAAAACACACGTTTCCCGGCGCGCGTGCTGTATACCAACAGTACACACTGAGTGACCCCGGCGGCCTGCACGGAACGTCCGACGTAATCGGTTGCTGATAAGATTCGCATCTCAGCACAGACGCAGGACAAGAATTAATATTTCTAGCTTGTAATTTTAAACAAAAAGGAAAACTATTCTTCAACAGTAGGCTATTGAGTTTTTATTCAACTTATTGTCCCCCCC